AGAAGTGTGAAGGTGAGGGCGAATAAATAGAGAGGGAAATAAACAAAGAGACGTAAAAATATAACAATTAGGAAATCTTAGTGAAAAAAAACCTGCTGCGGTGGATTCGAACCCGCGTATTCACGAACCGAAAGCGAGCGTTCCAGCCACTCGTTTTCTTTTATATAGAATTACCCGTCTTGATTGTTTCTTCAGATTTCGGTGTTTGTGGGGATTTATGCGGGAAGTTTTCATCACTGTCTGGCTCCTCAAAGCGTGGTCTTTCGTCGAACACCTACACACAGTATCACGCAGGACACTATAAGGATTTGTTATGCGTGCCTTTTTTCACTTTCACTTTACCACTTGGCTATTTCGGCACTCTAACAGAACTAGCATAGCATTGAAAGGGAAGGGAAGTGCGTGTGAGGAAGAGGGAGAGAAGAGGAGGTAAAGTTTAGGCTAGCATATAAGGAACCAGAAATAAAATTCAGAGAAATAAATGTAGAAAGAGAAAAAGAGATAATCAAAGAAAAAGGAAAGAAGTAACAGAGAAAAAAAAAGGAGGATAAGAGGAAGCAAGCGAGAAATGGAGAGAGTGAGACAAGGATAGGAAAGAGAAAAAAACTGAAAGAAAAGAAGAAAAATAAAAAAGAAACGACAAAGAAAACCATACAGAAACAGATGAGGTCACCAAGTTGTATGGACAAATATGCAAATGAATATGAAAATAGCTTGTCCTGCGAGTGGCGACAGGCTCGTGCTTTGCTGTGCCAGGCTCTGAGGTACTTAGTGAAAAACATTTTACATTCCTTATTAAAAAATAAATTAATGCATAAAACCTTTGCGACCTTCAACAAAGAATTTTCGTGCATGATTTCGCATTAAAGCCACGAACAATGTTATGGTTAATAATGATGGTTAAGTTTAACGTCCCAAAACTACCGTGCGATTATTAGAGACGCCGCTATATATAGTGGAGGACTCTTAAAATTTCGACCACCTGGGGTTCTTTAACGTGCACCTAATTCTAAACACACGAACCACAGGCATTTTCCCCTCGATCGGAAATTCGGCTGTCGTGGCCGGGATTCGATCCCGCGACCTAATGTCATGGGTATGTGAAGTCCTTTGTATATACAGGCAAAATCGTAGAGACTAATTGAGCATGACGCACCTCGCAACCTCAGAAAAAAATAATAAAGAGTGGTCTTACGCTGGACTTCAGCAACTGCAGCTTAGAGGAAGCGGCAGCGACAATGTTCACAAAAAAATCTTCAGCATTTCTTGTTGTCCAAACTTTCCAAATAACTACGTAAACTATGTTTTTAACAGTTTACTATGTTTTTGCCAGCGACATCATGAAAGAAGATCGTATTGAACATATTTCACGAACTTTTAGCGGCGGGTAAACATACTACATTAACGTCATGAATTACTTAATGCTGTTTCTACTTCGGAGTATATTTTGCGCGCATACATATGTTAGTGATGCAAAAGTCAATTTTTTAAAACTTCATTGTCTGTCCTGTACGTGAAGCGAATGAGCCAGATTGGCTCATGAAGCTCAAAAGCCCCAAGAACATCGCCCAATGTTAGCGGTGTAAGCGCGTTTAATGGTTGCTACTGCTTACCTTTCAGCAAAATTAGCGCTTTCGTGTACCCAGAGAAACTTCCTGCGGAAGTCGCCAAGAGAGGTGAAACTTGAGGCAATCGTGAGCGTGCGTTGCGTTAAAGTTTTGGTGGGTCCTGTTTTCTTAAGTTGACTGACGATAGTTTGTTTGAATTGATACAGATTGCCAAGGTTCTCAACAATGATAACAAAATTCATCATCGGCGCCTTCTTTATTTCATCTAAAGTGTAGCAGCTGATTTCTGAAGTACACACCGTTGTAGGCTCGTCGCAATCGTGCAACAAGTTTACCATGCGATCATGCTTTAGACCACCGGCGTGCTGCAGGCCATCTGATCAATTGGTATCTTGTCATAATGTCTGTTGGCATAATGAAGTTTCTCCGTAAGGCTGTTCCAGGAATGAGGACTTCCTTGTCTGTTCTCCAATCAAGTGCTTGTGCTAAGCGTTTGTGTGGTAGTTATAAGAACTGCAAAAACCTCCGTTATCACTTGTGCATTTATTAGGCGATTTAGTGCTTATATATTGACTGGAGACTGTGTGGGCGTTTATTTTATAATTAAAGAAGGCAAACGTACTAATTATCAGACAATACACGTGACAGTTACACTTCTTCTTGCTGGTGGGCTTCGCCGGGTTGTTTATGCTTTGCGGCATAGCATGACTGCACCGCCACAAAGCTGACTATAACAAATTGGTCATCTTGCAGCACGTGTAAATAATGTAAACAAATAGTGCATTATATCCAAAGGGCACTGTAAGCAAGGCAGTAAACAAGCACAGAGTGGGAGTGAAAATATGGACGGCGTGCGCAGCACACACACACACACACACACACACACACACACACACACACACACACACACACACACACACACACACACACACACACACACACACACACACGCACGCACGCACACACACACACACACACACACACACACACACGCACACACACACACACAATGCGACGAAAACTAAATGCCATGCTGTGAAGCGGGCTACCTGTGACTGTTACCGGGAAGAGTATCGCCATATTGCTTCGAAAGCGCAGTGTGTTCTCTATTCCTATGCGTACGTTTCACATGAAGTTGTAGATTAGAAATAAGTAATAGGCAAACTTTTACGTCTTAGAAGCAGGTTTAGAGTCAACAATCGTCTCGACGGGCAGTACAACACGCATAAATATGCTTCAGGCAGTGATATTACGCATATTTAATCTCGGGCATGTCAAATTATTTATAGCGACGCCCTTCGGGTCTGATGTACTCGTGTGTTACTGTATACACACTTAGATGATGGTGCGCCTATTCGAAACAGATTTTTTTTATCCAGCGAAGCAATATGCGGTGAGAAACATTAATTTGCTCGGCGTAAAGAAACCCTTTTTTCTCTACACCACAGAAACATTTATTCACAACGATGTTCCACATCTGCTTGATACCGCACGCATGCATTGGCGCCACGCATGCATAAGTGAGATCTGCTTAGGAAGGCCTAAATACATCACCGCGATGTGTTCGGTAGACACCATGAACTCCACAGATCTGATATGAAAAAATAAGCAGACTGCTTTTCGTCGCTGCGTCTTCTAGTACTCACATGCTGCGTCCCCAATAACGAAGTCGGCTTCGCCGTCATGCTCGTTCTCGTGGTGACTCTACTGCGGCGGAATACTGGAGTTGTGCGTTTTTTCAAGCTACAGTTACCTTTTGAGAAAAGCTGGCTTTTCTAGAACGAAAAAAGAAGCCGGAAACAAACAACAACAAAAACAGCGCGAAAGATGGAGCACAAGAAAAAGGAGGACACAAGTAATATTTACTTATATTGCTTGTGCTCTGCCTTCTGCGCTGTTTCGTTTCTTATAAGTCGCCCCAACACGCCCAAACATCCACATTAGCAAGAAACAAGGCCCGAACGTCAGCTTGTATACAGCGTTGAACATACTAGCTCTTCTGATCGTGTCTCAAATTTTGTCGCTCGAAAACAATTAGGCTCGTAGAATAATGCGCTCAATACGTCAGCAAGGTTAGCACAAAAATAAAATTTAATGTATAGTGCTGCCATGCCCGCACTCACAGAGTGCAATATTTATGTCTTCAATACGAAAAGGAAAAGCACGAAAATACGTGTGGTCACAAAACTGATTCCCCCTCTTTCCGAACAGTGCGCCCTTCAGTCAAAAGTGGCCCTTGCTAGAAAAGCGGCAAGTATGCACCATTGCACGTGCGCCCATTAACTCAAGCATTCCTGTGATTCAATTCATCACACGTTCAAGAAGTCTCTCACGCCCGTAGAGCAGCGGGACTGGGCTAAGTACATCTCGCTAAGAATTTCCCAGTGATGGCACCAAAATGATGTCTGGCAACGTGGGCAAGCTTTGGTGGCTTTTTATTCGATCCCTAATCGAGCTATCTCAAACGACGGGACCGGGAGGTCAAGCCTCCTGGCCGTACCATGGGTGAACTGGACATCTCAGCTTTGATTGTGATGTTAGTGATTTGATTAGTCTTTCATAGCGGTCTCACCTAATATCGGGTGTCAGTGACCCGCAGTACCAGAGAATGCGTACTATCGAGTAGGTGTTTTCTTTGCAAATAACGTCATTTCTATGTTTTCTGCTCCGTACCACTCCCTAATTTGAACCGGTGAGTAGTACGACTGTGTTGGTAGTTTTCTTGGCGTTGTGACTTCATCACTCTTGAAGTTTGAGTGAGGGTGCGGATACGCTATTCTGCTTAGATAGAAGTGTTTAACTGTATGTGGCCAATTAATATTTTTGATAGCCTCACATGCGTTCTTTATTCTCCCAGGAGCCGCAAAACTATTAGAAAGTGATCGCGTGCTTCCACAACTGATCTTTCCCCATCCCGTGACCCCTGGCTTCTTCGCACAGGATGGCTCGCCTATCTACATTTGCAGTGATCGCGCTCATCGCTTGGAGCTCAATGCGTAGCACTCACGCCACGCCACCCCTGTTTGCCGGTCTGGCCACCTTTCCGTCGACCGGCCTGGCTACCGCGCTGATCGGCGGCAAACTGCTGGCGACCAAGGCTGTCGTCGGCATCGGAGGCGCCAAGCTGATCAAGGCATCGCTGATCGCTCCCATTCTCACCAAGAAGGCCGTCAAGCCCGTGCTTCTTGTGGCCGCCAAGTCAGGCAAGCTCGGCAAGCTTGGCAAGCTCGGTAAATTCGGTAAACTCGGCAAGTTTGGCAAGCATGGCAACTTCGTGCCCATTCCCATTCCCGCATCGGCCCCACAAGTTTACGCCGCGCCCACCGTCTACAAAACGACCGTGATCAAGAGCCCCCCGGTGGAAAAGTGGCCATCTGAGTGGCCCTCGTCCGCCTGGCCAGCTTCTGCCGAGTGGCAATGGCCCTCCGCCTCGCCCGCCTTCGGAGCCTCCGCGGGTTTTGGAGGCAGCGTATACGGTGACCTTTCATACGGCGGTAGCTTCAGCCCAGCCAAGGTGCCGACTTTCTCTTTGGATTCTCTGGCGGCGGCACCCACCAGTTTTCAGGCTGCCTCAGCGGCGACAGTTTCGAAGGCAGTTCCGGAATTCTACTCGAGGTACGCCGAGACCGTCAAGCAGGCTGTCCCATTCAACTCCGGCTCTTTCGAATTCGGAAAGTCACTCGCGGCGAACCCGACTCCGACTGGCCTCAACTTTGGGGCGTCCACTGGCTTCTCCGCTGGTGTCGGACAGGGCGGTGCCTGGGCCTTCCCCGACGCTGCTGCCTCTGCATGGCCTGCGGCTTACAACAGCAAGTCTGCATTGGCCCTGGGGCCAACAGTGAAGCTGTGATGTGATGCTGCCCCAACAGACGTGGGTGAGTGGTCCAGAACATTGTGCACCAGACCCGTAGACAGGATCTTTTTTCTGGGGGTGGGGAGGGGGCATTTGTTTAAGGCTTTGAGATAAACTGAGATTTAAGGCTTTCCGTAAACTGTGTCTTTTAAGCCACAAACTCAGAGACGCCCCGTCGCAAGTGAAACTATTAGCTTATAACACTTTAATACGTCCAAAGCTTGAATACGCTTGTATTGTATGGGATCCGTATACTAAGTCTAACATATATTCCCTCGAAAAGATTCAAAGACGAGCAGTGCGTTTTATTTACTCGAAGTGTGGTCGTGGTACATCAGTTACTGAACTAATGCGAGATAACAAATTCCAGACGCTACAATCGCGGCGCCAGCTTCTCCGTCTAAAATTCTTGGACTCACTAATTAACAATAACCTTGGGCTAGACCCATCACATTACGTTACCCCAGTTTCGACCAGGCAAACTCGTCATTCTCATGTCCGATCTTTAACTCCGTATTTTGCGCGGACAGATTTATTTAGGTTTTCCTTTTTTCCGAAAACTGTAACAGAATGGAATAACTTGCCTTCTGATTTCCTCCAAACCTTCGATCTTGATGAACCCAATGTTTAATTCTGTGAATCTTGACCCCCCCCCCCTCCCAATATCGCTTGATTTTTTTTTTATGTTTCTCTTCTACTCGCTCTTCTCCTACACAGATGTATTTTAGTGAAGCTGTGTCACTCATGTACTGATCTTGTGGTTGTGTTTGTGCCCCTCCTGCTTGGGCCTTTTTGGCCTGCAGTATTCCACAATAAATAAAATAATAAAATATCGGGAAAAGCATTATTTTTTTGTAACCTCCTTCCCTACAAAACCCTCGGGGGCGAGGCACACTGCACCACCCTATAGGGGCCTGGCGTACATCATTCAGCTTGTTTAGCGATACGAAACAGCTTCGTATACATAAGCATGCGCACGAGAGGAACAGGCAAGACAGTAGTACTCCACTTTCCCCTCCCCTCAATATAGCAGAAAAAAGGGGCGGGGCCCCTTTTTTTCACAAGTGATGAGCTGGCCGAGCAGTTTTGGGCAATCCGGCAAGCTAAAGATGCCGGCCGGGTGCAAGGACTTCGAGCGGTCACCTGACGTACCGCCATCATAATCAACAGAGAGTGGGAAGAACAGGGGTTTATCCCCTCTTCCCCGACCTCGCCCGGTAACACTGCCGGACTTTAAATAAAGTCTATTCATTCATTCATTCATTCATTCATTCATTCATTCATTCATTCATTCATTCATTTGTCCCGGTTTTATACAGATGCTAATGTTCCGAAATAGTTGTCTTATTAGGTGCATTTAATGTGGGCATGTTCGCACCTGTATCAGTTTTTTTGTTGTTCTCACTGTTCGCGTTTTACAATACATCGCATGGAAAAAGCCGTTTGATGAGCCTTTTATTCCGGTTTTTTAAAGTCAACCCATACAACCAAGTCAGGACTACAGGCCTATGCGAATGCCTTTGACTATTATATAATGCCACCATTGCATATACACGTGAGTGTTTCCGCTAATCATTTCCTTATTTCCTTTTCCTCCATTTATTCCTTTCCTTCATAGTTATGTTCCCCCTTTTTGATCGTAGGGTTGCCGGCTGGGTATGCATCTCGTTTACCTCACAGCCTCCTCTCTTGTTTTCTTTCTTTCATCCTGCAGCTAAGAAACGTAAAACAAAATTGCTATTTGTGTCAAAATATGCTTCGACATGTTATCCTTCTCCTCATTATTAGTGTGACTTGTCTAGAGTACCTGTTTTTGTTTAATTCACTGTTATTACAGATCAGCCGTCACACGTAGCTCTCAGGATACCTCGGCCTCTCGTACGGACTTTGAACTTTCCAAAGACGTGCTCATGACAGTGTGCATCATTTGTGCTCTCGTGTTTTGCATTCCTGTAACTTGTAGGCGAAGCATCAGATGTGTTCATACTCTTGCACTGTCCTTCTCTTCTATTTTAGAGAGTGCTCTCGATGGGGAGTGCTGATAAACCATAGACAGTTGAATGAATATTGCTTATATGTTGCTTCTTTAACAGCCTGAAGTGAGATTTTCATAATGCAGTCAACATTTAATGATACCTTTCAGGCTCGGAGACTCTCCAGGGACGGTTGAATCAAAGCCAAACTCGCTCGCCCAGCATGAATGGAAGTCTTCTGGAAGCTCACTGAAGACATTTAGGCTCCGGAACGTGATAATCAGCGAGTACGATTTTCAAGTTGCTCGTGTGCAATAGTTCGCGTTCGCTCAGAGTAGGTTAGTTCTCATTGTCTGTTGGATGTTTTTGTTTGGCAACATCATTTTATACGCCAATAAATCTTGTTTGCTACAAATCATACGTTATCCATCTTTGTAGGTAAGCCATGATAGGCCAAGAAATAGAGCAAGTGTGTGACAGAGATAACCGTCGTAATCACCACAAACTTCGTAGACAGCTTTATAATAGCGTACGAAAGTATGACATTCATTAGGTTCGCACGCTGTTTTCAACACTCAACGTAGGTACTTATGAAAACAGCACATGAGGCATGCGCTGTGGTGACTAACGCAAAAGGAAGTCTTTGCATACCGTATTCTAAAACTGTGACGTTAATAACACAAGTGTTTACATATTGTGCCACAATTCATAAGACACATTGCAGAATAGTAAATAGAATGTAGCTCCGTTGCAAGCCAATATAATTATGATCATCTAGTGTTGGTTGGGTGCTCTAATGAGGAAAATATATATCTCAGTTACAGAAATAATAATAATAATAATAATAATAATATAAAATATGTTATTATCTAAGATTTTACGGCCCACACTATGATTATGAAGAATGCCATAGTGGAGTGCTCCGGAAATTTTGACCATCTCGTATTTTTAAACGTGTACTGGCGTCCGTACAATACACGTGTCTTTACTATTTCGACTGCACCAAAATGTGACCACCGTGGCCGAGATACAAACCACAACCTTCGGGTAAGCAGCCGGGTACGGTATGAATAATTTTATCATGGTCCTGAGGATCAGTCCAAGACTGATGCTCACTGCTCCCGCGTTTGAACAACGAGAGTCTCTGTTAGGATTTCTTCCCTGCACACGTAGCGGGAGGTATTTGCCGGAGTCTGATGGTTTCTAGACTCGGTTCATATATAAGGAAATCGCAATGATGGTCTGGCGACTGGGTCTTGATCTACTGCGTGTTATGAAGGGAACATGAGAGAATACATCCTCATTAGCAGCTCGGGCCTGAATCTTGTAGAGGTGACCACTCATGTACAGGTAGTTCAATGACCGATGTTCTTGTTAGTAAACGCTTCAGTGTTCAGATGTGAAAATGGGGCTGGGAATTCCCGCAACATTGCTGCTGTCTTAGAATCTGGAAGTGAGACTTTTCGACTAGAAATGAGCATCAGCACTTTCTCTCTCTTGTTCTTTCTTTTTTTTTTTTGAGTACAAAACAGTTGGCAATGAACTCGAGTCCGTGTTTCAGATTCTCATAGTTTATCGTGCACTGAACACAAACAAAACAGACATACACATGAAAACCAGTAGGCCCTACTATGCACTCCAGCGATGCCAGCGCAACATTGAACATCTCGAAGTTCTATAGGTGACTCAGAGCACTCGCTCTTAGAATCCAGCGAGGAATTACGCAGAGAATAAATATACAAATTATTGTCCAAGCTAAATATTTCGCTTGGGTCACCGGCAGAAAGAATGCACACGCCTCTTTACGGCTAGTGTGCCGTTGTGGCGAAAAAGAAATGCCTCTTCGTCGAAACACGTGTGTGGTAAATACTACTCTACTTCTTTGTCTTTGTTAAGCCCTCGTTAAGTTTCACGACCAGAGTGACATCGTGCAGACACAATCAAGCATCATTACAGCACATACACACACACACGAACATGTGACCTGCAACTGGGTACTCTGCGGTCAAATACTGCATGTCATTGTGCCGCGCTCATGCTCCGCGTGTCTTATACCATTCGTATGTTAAGTAATAAGTGATAATAGTCCAGAAATCGGTGGGACGTCCCAAAGTGACACGGTCTTTGAGAGTATGCGCTCGTTGTCAAGCGACCAGAATTTGTTTGCGTTGTTGAAACCTTCTAACGCGAAGCGACAAAATGCGACAATGTATACAACTTAGCTCATCGCGCGTCTTTCGCGTCTCCAGCAAGCGTTATTGTAGGTGACCTACGCTCACAATCGTGAACGACGCTATCTATTGTCAACTATTCAAGCTTTTCAGCCTTTCTTAACAAAGCGACGTGAAGCTTTTCGCAAGATGACACACACAAACACATGAAGGGTTCCAGATATAGCTCTTCGCTGTGGTGTTCGAACAGCAACACGGTCAGTCAGTCATCAAGCGGGGATGACAGAGTTTGGTCCAGCGAACTCGTTATGCGGTGTGAACTTGGATGATCTCAGTGCGCAACGTACGTGCAGAGAGTGTCCGCTCTGGTGATAATTGCTGCAGCGAGGCGAGCGATACGCAGCTCGCATTGTCCATACCACCATCGCACAAGAAAAAAACAAAACAAACAAGAGAAAGGAAAAATAATCACACACGCACAATTGCACACCGGCTGGTGTCCGCACAATAACCAGTCTTGATATGGCTGCACGCACTATACTGTCCGGTGGATATGTCGACGAGACCGGAGACCTGGCGTCGCTTCGAAGGACGCGTGGTGTACGTTTGTCGACGCTGTTCCTCGCACTCGATGAGCCACGGGCCTCCGGCTAGCTTGGTGTCCATAGCGAGCTTTCGGGTTGCGGATGCACGACGGTGTCGCTAGACCTACCGGCCTAGAAAAAAAAAGACGAAGATGAGCAAATAGTCAAATTTCAATGCAACTAAACTAGCGTTCACACGATATCCTTAAACCAGCATTTCTTTCTTTCTGTTTGCAGTTAAAACTAGAATGGTGGCATTTACCACAACCTTGATGGAATAGCTGCCTCGCGCCATTGTTGCCTCTCTGTCAAACAGATCGAAATAGGCATTCACTATTCACATCCCGTTCCTCATTTTTGTACATCCCTTACTTTATAGTACAAGAAAACATTTTCACAGTGTCACACCAATCTCGCCTTCCACAATATCCCCATTTCCTCTACTTTGTTTCTTCTCGGATGCTGGGGACGGAGGAATTGCCAATATTCTTGAAGACAAGGGAATTGCAGCATCGGTTATAGACCAATAGCATCATTGTGATTGTGACAGCTGTAACTTTGTGTGCATCTGTACCTTCTCTTTCATTCTCTCTGCATCTAACTTCCACATTTACCCTATTTCTTTCTTCAGTGTAGAGTAGCATGCCAGTTTTACAAGAGTAGCTAACATCCCTGCCTTTTTCCTCACCATTCTGTCCCTTACTCCTTTGCTCACGCCCAGGCTTGCTGTTCTCCTGCTTCGCTTTTGCGGTAGCGGAAGGGTGAGCAAGGCGTACATAAACCCGCTGCTAAGAAAGGCAGACATGCACATTTAGAAACGCTCACCCCAGCGACAATTTCTGTTCCTTGGCACGGTGAAGGATACCGTGTCGCAACAAGAGAGCGGCACTAGGACAAGCTCACACAACTAACTAACTAACTAACTAACTAACTAACTAACTAACTAACTAACTAACTAACTAACTAACTAACTAACTAACTAACTAACTAACTAACTAACTAACTAACTAACTAACTAACTAACTAACTAACTAACTAACTAACTAACTAGCTAACTAACTAACTAACTAACTAACTGACTGACTGACTAACTAACTAACTAACTAAACTAATAAATAAACAATGTACATATGTGTGTATGTGTGTATGTACATGAATGAATGAATGAACCATTATAGCTAGGATAGCTAAAGGGCCTAAAGCATAATTATGGAAGTGGGCAAGGACCAGTCAGAGCTTTGTAGAGGTGAATGGGGGAGATGGGGGAGGATGCATTGTTTGGTTTTCTACGCAAACGTGTGAAGCGAAAAATTTTGATCAACCCAAGGGCTCCTGGTTTACACTTAGGCATTGGATTTGCACCAGTAAAGCCACCGAATTATCAAAATAAAGCTTTTTCGTCCTCCTAAAATAATAATGAAATGGCTGCAGCATAATCATAAAAGAAAATAAATGCTGTTTACATGTGCAATTTTTGCAAGTGAACACCTATTAAACGTACTGTTTACTATTTTAACAGGCTAAACTATTAGGATCAGTAGATATATTCGAGGTATAAATAAGACTGTGCACTTACTCTTAACGCTGTTGTCTGACTCCATGGCGATAGTGTCCTCGCTCTTGATTTCTTCTTGTAATGTTTCTGAAATGATTCAAGGAACATAAGTCGCAATACTGTCCCAATCACATACAATAAAACCACTTGCAGTATAAATCGTACGGTATGAATTATACGGAATGTGCACATATAGGTGTGCCTATTTTGCCCGCATCCTGTATTTCTTCTTAATCAAGGTCGTGGAACACTAGTTGTCATTCAGCGTCATTCTCTTCCAGCCCGAATGCTGTTACAACGAGGTATCTTTCTAGCCAGATCTATTCTCCACTCTCAAAGATACATTTACGCACGAAATTCTGCACTCAATGCCATGGAAAAGGCAGCTACAGCTATGATAAAACTCAGAACTGCACAACTGTTCACTGTGTTCACTGTTTCGACATGTCCAGTGCAACGGCGACTCTCGAGCACTCGCAAAAATATGCCTGAAGCCGTCAATCCCACTTTCGTGTAACCTAATAGAGACATGTACTCAATGAGTATGATGATCATCTTTACTGGCATATTTTTGGAATAATGGTGACAACAAATAGTTGCCTAGCCCATTTGATACAATATATCTTCATTACATATATAATAGCCGTGTTGTTGCGGCTATCTCATCCTGATTATTTTCCCGTACATTAAAGTGTCTATTTCGGTATTGTATTGTTAGTTACGCCTGTAATGACTCAATTTTTATACGTAGATATTCTGCACTTTTTCTCGCTGATACACCTTGTATTTCACGCATACCCTGATTGATATGTGGGGTTTAGTGTCCCGAAACGGCCATATGATTATAAGAGACGCCGTAGTGGAGGGCTCCAGAAATTTCTACCAGCTGGGGTTCTTTAACGTGCACTGAAGCCTGAGCATACGAGCCTACAGCATTTTCGCCTCCACACGCATACCTCGACTAGTGACCAGTGAATGTGCGTCAATTTCCGTAAGCGCTGAGTGTCCCTTACCTTTGGGCGTCTGCTGCGACTCCACGAGAGTAGAGCGAAGAGCTTCCTCGCACCGTGCCCTCTTCTTGACTTCGCCTTCAAGCTGGTCTTGCACCTGTCGCCGGCAGCGCTTCTCGCGTCGAAGTCTTTTCTGGTAGAACACTGCGACCGAGGGAGACAGCGTAGAAGATGTGACGGTTCGGTCACTCAGAACCAGTAAGTATCAATTTTCCCTTCAGAGTTTTTGGATGTAAAAATGTGGAAAAGTAATTTTTGTGGTCTTTTCATCCACTGACAACATTTGGCTGCGCCGCCTTAACAAAGCACTGAAAAGTTGTGGTTTGCCGATGTGGCTGTGTTCAAAAGCGTTCGCCGACCACCTTTCAATGTCGTGTTCTACCGTGAAAGTATTCATGCACGGCGATGACAAGTATAACTCGGTTGATACATCACAGAAGAGTCAATACGTCATTGAAAGTAACCAACTGAGGATATGGACACAGCTACATTCAGAATCGCCGCAATTTTGTCAGTGCAAAACTTAAAGAGTGCTTCACCGCACAATAATGCTATAGCAGGAGAAGCCAACTTTCTGTAGTCAGTCAAAGTTGCAAGTACGGAAGCTATGTAAAGTCGCACGCGGTGACTTTGCAAATATTAAACCACATGAACGAGCTTACACGAGAATGCGCAAACGCAAACATTTTCCCGCCTTTTTGTTCTTTGGTATGTGTTAAATGTAAGAACAAACCTGTTAATGTGAAGTCCCACCTTGGATCTTAATGAAAAGGAAGTTCCCCTTAGGTTTTGTGACTTATTTAATTTGTCAAATGCATTGACTGACTTGTGAAAAGCCTTTGTGCGTTAAAAACTGGTAATAATTCTTCACTACAATTTGGGCAGCGACTACTGACCTCTTTTGGTCTGTTCCTCCTGAAGCTTTTTCTCAAGACCTTCTCTAAGTTCGCGCTCCCGCAGAATTTCCACTTTTAGTTCCGCTGCGAAAGAGAGAACGAAAAGGAAAGTGCATATCAGTGCAACTATACCACAACATATTAAATTATTAAGCAATGAGAGAACGTTAGTCAGTGCTAGAAAAAAAGTCTGTCACGGCTACTAGTTTTAGACTAAAGATATCGTGAACATCACAAACATCGTCATAACCCACCAGAGAAAATGTATGGAAGAACATCGTCTTTGAAAATCTCCCTATATAATAGAATGGTAGCTTAATGATGATATGTGGGGTTTAACGTCCCAAAACCACCATATGATTATGAGAGACGCCGTAGTGGAGGACTCCGGAAATTTAGACCACCTGGGGTTCTTTAACGTGCACCCAAATCTGAGCACACGGGCCTACAACGTTTCCGCCTCCATCGGAAATGCAGCCGCCGCAGCCGGGATTCGAACCCGCGACCGGCGGGTCAGCAGCCGAGTACCTTAGCCACTAGACCACCGCGGCGGGGCAGAATGGTAGCTTAGCCTAGCTGGTGATTTGGAATTGACTTATTAGCACATCATCAGATGAACGAGGACACATGAAAGAACACAACAGAGGCACTAAGTGTTGTGTTCTTTCATATGTCCTCGTTCATTTTGCGCTGTGTAATTGTGTCATCTCCCTATATTCTGCGCTTGAATGTTATGTCGGTTATGATGAGAAGATAGCGGACATCAAACAAAACAAGGGGACGTTAGATGACCATGCGATGCGTAGGACATACAATCGGTGGACGTAAGATCAGAGGAATAGTTACCAACGGATGAGAAACATAGTTGAGGAAATGAGAGAGAAAGAGAGAGGCAATGAAAGGAAGGGAGGTTAACCAGACGCCCGAAAGGTTTAGCACCCTGCACTTGGGAAAGGCACAAAAAAGAGGAGAGCCAGAAAAAGGGAGAGATGTTGACCTAGAGCCGCCCACACTTGTGGGAGCATACCAAGTTTACAAGTGGTCACACAAACTTGTTGATTTAAACTACGTTAGTAACGCTTGCGTTGCCTCTGCGCCGTCGAGGCTGTGGTCCCAGAGTTTCGGCTGAGGAATATGACCTTGATTCTAGTTAGGCAAAAAGCAGTCATGCCAGTTGTTGACGTTAAGAAATTCTCAGACATGAACTGGAATCACGTCGCACTGAGTAGGGTAAACTGGAGATCAAACGTTCATCCCGCAGTTCACTTAAATAGGCTAAAATGATGACGATAGTTGACATGGCGGTGCTCACCCCTCTCCATGTGAACCTGCTGCTCCTGTTGCCTGGCGTTCTCCTCGGCCACCTTGAGCAAACCGAGGATGTTCTGCAGGAGGGTCTCCACGGAGCCCATGCCCCTAGCTGCGAGCAGACCCGCCCGCTCCATAAAGAGTTGGGCCTCGCCGTCCTGCGAAGAGGTGCGCTTCTCGCCACCGCCGGAACTCGACAGGCTCGCTTCCGAGTCGTCACCGCTAAGGTCACCTACGCCGTCGTGGAACAGAGACAGCGCTCGTAAGCTCTCGCGGCCACTTCGATGATAATAACACGAACATGATAGTATCCCAGTTTTTTCACTATATGGCCTCGGGAAATTCCATGAAGGTTCGTCAAGCACGAAAGGTGAGCGTTGGCGTCAGCACCAATACGAGTGATGCAAACACTGATCACGTGACAACATCAATATATGATCTCAACATGGCGCCACAAGGCGTTACTACTTGTGACGTCATGACGACGTTCCTATGACGTCACATAAAATGGTCACGTAGTCACAGGTCACTCAATCACGGAGGCACTGCAAAACAACGTGAGGGGCGGAAAGCTTCCAATGCCTCCTACCTCAGAGGCATCACGAAATCACCTTGGGCTCAAAACTTTAGAGATACCGGGGGGGGGGGGGGGTGATAATGTCAATCAATCGACCGAAGAGATGAATTTTGCCTTCAAAGTCGTCTCACAATACCACATTAAGGGCGTCCGCATAAATATTTCACCTTGCTCCCGGTCGTCGGCGTAATCGGACTCCGCCTGCATCTCATCGTCGTCCCTCGCCCTCTGGTGACTGTCGACGTAGTCTCTGTCACGCGGCGGCATGCCTCCACCACCGCCGTTTTGAGACAGGTTGAGCGCCGAAGCGAGCTCGTGTTCTCCCACAGGCCCTGAGAATCCAATAGGAAAGGATTAAGAAAGTTTTGGTGAAGCGTGAAGACCTCGCCTTTCACTTTATTATAGCGCATCGGGAAGCCATGAGGAGTGTCGAAGTGCATCTGTGGGTGTGATCGTGGTTAAGCTGTTAGAGGTTACATGAACAATATATAAGTAGCGTATAGGCTATAGAGTGATTATAGGTTATATATATAGACCGATGGTTGGTCAACTGCAAGCCTAAGTGATCAACCAGTAATGGTGATGAGAGGGAACGTCAAAAGATAAGGTCTGGAGTAGGGATTGGACAGAGGCGGGGCCAGCTTCCTCTTTTCTTTTTTGAGGGGGGGGGGCGCTTTCGACCACTTCTTTTATGTATTTTCGTGAATATATTCGTGTGCGCGCCCACATATACACACCATAAAATGAAAAAAATATAGGGACAATTCGAGTGCTTTTCTCCGGCTATGCCAATGAAATAGTAATATAAATTAAGAGCACAATAAGGTACCTTAAATGTCACCTAGAAGATCGGCAGTGTTATAACAGCAGTTATATGCATAATTAATGGCACCTGTCAACAACCATTAGCATGTTTCATACATGCATTCTGAGCAATAAGTAATCGTCATCTGTTTTGCACACCTTTCTTTGCTCTGACGCACGACACTCGAAAGTTTCTGGTCAAGAACGACGCAGACGCTATTAGAGTGCGTTAAATACGCGAATGACAGATAAAGATTAAAGAACAAATTAGCAAGTTTGGACAGACGGCCCCTCACAATAAAGAAACTACTTGGACCATGGCCTGAGATGCATCTCCAGAAAAAGGCAATAATCTTCCTGACAGACTTTTTAGTGGAGACCGGACTGGACAAGCGCTTATGACAGACAGCCAGAGATGGGTATATATAAAATGTGGTCATGTATATACTGGCAGTAGAATAGTAAGGTGTGCGTGTAAATAGTTTATGACTGTGTGAACTGTGCTAAGAAAACTGTGTATTGGCATGATATTTGAACTGGTTTCAGTGTGCTAATATGTTTTTTTCTTTTCCGTATTGTTAAATTTTGGGTACCGTTCTGTATTATTATTTTGTTTTTCGCTGCAGAACTTTGCGATATGGAGTAGCCGAGGCAATAGGCACCTCAACCTCCCCACAGCAAAACAGTTAAAACAGAACAGAACAGAACAGAGTGATAAAAAATTCTTTATAGATATAGCACCTATCTTTAAATAAAAGGCATGCGAGCAAGCCAGATGACGATAGCGGGACAAAAAGGTTTTCCGAAGAGATCAAAGTGCTTATTCCGTGCATTAAGCGATATGCTAGATTTGCATCACGTTAAGCGGGAGCTCATACAGTGGATAGTCTCATACTAAGTATGCAGTGAACACGCATAAAGCGCATCAAATGCTTTCCGCCTCAGGGGGTTAATTACGAAAGTTTTGTATGAGCACGGCGAGCAAAAAAATAGTCTGCAAAACAAAGACCAAATATAACTCGCACTTACATCCAGGACTCATTGATCTTCTATTAGGGTCCGTCGCACGCATCTTCTCTTTCTCTCCATACTCGTCACTGTTTCTGCAAAAAAATACAAAAGAAAAAATAAGTTTTTTTTTACACCGATGATTGCCAAGACCGCCCATCAACTATCCAACACTACAGCCAACAGTACTTGTAGCAAGCGAGTAAATGCGGTAGCTGTGTATGGAAAGGCTTTACGGAAAGCGGTACAGTAGCATTAGGAGAAATCAGGTTCGACATCGTAGACGTAATAATCATTTAAAGAGAGAAAGTGGAAGCTGCCCACCAGTCAGATGTGTTAAAGAAAAAAAAAAGGGAGAGAAATCATCGCACCACGTTTTAGAAAAAGGAGGAAAAAATGAAAGAGGGCAAATGAATGGAAATAGCTGAAATAACAGTCAAACAGTTGAAATAAGTTTCTTTATCTCTCTTTATGGAAATAACAGTCAATAAAGAGAGATAAAGAGAGGGGGAGAGGATGAGCACGCGCAAACACACACACACACACCTACACACACACGCACGCACACACACCTACACACACACTCTTACACACACCTACACACACACACACACACGCGCACGCACACACACCTACACACACACGCGCGCGCACACACACCTACGCACACACACACGCGCGCGCGCACATACAGACGCGCACGCGCACACGCACAGTGGCACAGTCCGGCACTCTTGTGCTATACACGGCATCACCAGCTTCATTCACGAACTACCGAGGCTGAAGTTAGCGCAACAAAAGCGAACTTACGAAGGGAGATCTAACGCGAGGCAAACAGCCTGCTATACTACTAATAAAGAAAAAGAAAAACACATCGAGGAGGAGAACGAAAGCCGGTTACGAACACCTGCCGTTTGTTGGCTGGTCTCTCTCTCTCTCTCATCCTCTCTTCCAGTCTCGCGGCCTGAGGTGTTGTAATAAGCTGCCCACGCGCTATATAAACACACGCATCCAGAAAAGCGCGATCGCGTCATATTTCCTCTCTACACTCTCGCTACACGTTTTCCCGTTACGCTGCGCCTCGGTCATCGCGGAAGGCAGGGCCGGTCTCCGTCGGATACTGACCGGCCAGGGTTGTTCTTATATTAATCTCGCGGCGATTTCCGGTCACCCGTTTCCCGCAGCGAAAAAGCCAAGTCCATCCTATAGTGTCCTGTCGATCGAGCGGTGATGGCGCTGTTGAATCTCCCTGGGCTCTTTTTTTTTTCTCATGTTGCGGCGAGTCACGGTTGCAAGTGATATTGAGGACGGAAACGTGAGAGGATGCATATATTGGACGGACGTGGGTGGCGGTCCAGGTCGTGAAGCCTTTCGGCTATGGGTTTGTGTGTACGCGATATACTGCGCGCAGTTGATCGCGGTGCTGTATTCGTCGATGACGACGACACGGGTGTTGCCTTTATGAAAACGAGGAGGGAATAGCGGAAGCTGGATGGTATGTATATGCCTAATCGAGCGTGCGTAATGAAGTTATGTAACAGTGTGGGCAGGAAACGCACTTTTGATATGGATGCTCGGCTCCAACAGACATGCTGTAAGTATATTATATTACTCACTGTTCGGCTAGTTGGCGCATGATCAGTACTATATAGTATCCTAATGGTAAACTAGTTGTACTCTAATATTTTGATGATAGTAAACGGCGACAATAGCACGGCCACGCAGGAACGCAAAGCAGGAAGGGGTGCTCATAGACAATGCGGGTGCTCAAGTACACCACGTTGAGGTTGTAAGACAAATTATGCTAAATTCAAAACTGTCCAGATTAAAGCTTTATTACTCCCAAAAGAGGGGACCGGCCGAGAGGTCAGTTACGCTGCTTGACACCAAACTGTAAATACTGCTCTCAATTGGCCACCCTCATACACAGGGCATGGACGTGCCCACAGTACACTGACGCTTCTCACACAGAAGATACATGGGAGTCCCTTCTGCATATCACTGACTCGGCACAGCAACGCCGGGTAATCTCACGCGCATTGGAGGCCACGATGCCCAGATTAGAAGTTTATCTGAACGAGCAGGAGTAGAATTAGTTTTTTTTTTCTTTACATGTCAATGACATCGAACTCTGGACTGCCCACGTAGATACGCGATGATAGTCTGCCGTGTCCGTAACATCGCACATTATGACGGCGTGTGCTCGCGACTATAAGCAAAGATGCATTCACCAGTAAACATGCATTACATTGCATTCTGAAGTGGCCTGCAGTGAGCAAACGTGACAAGTTTTGGCAGCTGTTACTGCACCACAGGGCCGTACCCAGAACTTTTTTTTTTGAGGGGGGGGGGGAGTTTATGATTTTGGGGAGGGCACCCTCTTAAAATGATAATTTACTCTATCTGTGCCATGGAAACAAAAATTCGGGGGGGGGGGGGGGTACGGGCCCGATATACCACTCGCTGGCTACGCCCCTGCTGCACTACACCTTACATAGAAATAAAAAAGACACTACTTTTCATTTTAATACCGGGAGTTTTACGTCCTAAAACCCAACATGGTTATGAGAGACGTGGTAGTAAAGGGCTCCGGAAATTTCCCCCATCCGGTATTCTTTAACTATCAACGCGCACACGAACCCCTAGTATTTTGCCTCCACTGAAATGCGACTGCCGTGGCGGGGATCGAGACAATGTTTTAAAATACTGAATTTGGATTGACAAATTGACTTAATGCAGATATAGTTGAGGATTAGGCGCGAAATCTTTACGTTATTATTTCAAAACTTTACCATACCTTCAATATAAATATTACTAAAAAACACGTAATCAGCCTAAACTGTGCTATGGTTTCTGTTAACAGCAGAGAAATGAAGAGAGGGAGAGAATTAATTTGAGCTTATACTGTTGTGTGCTAATGCTAACACGTAATTTTTTCCCCTCTTGCATTCGAGTGCCATTTGGAACCATTTCCTGCTTAGATAGATAGATGCCACGGTGAATGCTTTATAGGTAGTGCGTGTTAAGCTGATTTAAAACAGGAGCTTTACTACGAAATAGGGAAGCATTCATTTTTATGTTTATTCGGCTTTTTTTATTTCTGTTCGACAACTATCTGTTTTACCGTGCCTCCCGATGTCATGGTTATGCCTACGGAAATATGATCGCATTGAGTGAGAGAACTGAAAGGAATGAAAAAAATCAAGAAATCATCGGGTGGGGGGAGGGGTGTTCTGGGAGTGGCTGGCTGAGAGCATACGTCAGGGTCGGTCTCGGCTGCTGCAGTTTCGAGAAGCGAGAGAGCCACGTTCATTAGCTGTGCACGTCCCCGTCAGCGCGATTCGGCAGACCAGATGGCTGGGGTCTAAAATACGCAACAGATGGGCCGTTGTTTCAGCTCGACAGAGGTGCAGGGTCGATTTGCGCGGTGGGAAAAGAGACGTGCGCGCGCGTCCGGTAATAAATTCATCAAGGAACTGCGAGGTCGATAAGAAGAGAAAAAAAAAACCGTCCGAGCAGCGCAGTCTGAAGGTTTGCGCAGATTTATAGCTGGTGCAGCCGCGGCAGTCGAACCTGAGAACCGGCGCCCACCATCGGAACGCCACTAGAAAAAAGGGCGTCATGCTATGCAAGTTTCGGGATATTAAAACGACAGCCTTATGCCTAGTTCACACTGAAACATCCGCTTTCTACAGCAACCGAAATTCCACTGCCGCCGAAACGCAGCGTCGTTCGCACTGGACGCGCCCCGCGCCGCCGAATATGCCATCTACTACGGGGCGAACGCGGGATGGATGCGCTGTCACCCGGTTGTTGTCGCGGCTCGCAAACGCTACTACGCTATCCAGTGGTGCATACTTCGACGATTCTCGTACGCAAGAAGCAAGAAAAGACAGTACTGCTTACTTTGCTGGCGAGTGGCTGTTTTGTAATGCATGAAGAGCAGAAAAACCACCGACGCCAGCGGCGTTGGTGGGTTCGTTTTGCTCTGCAAGACCTCAACAAGCTCGGTCACGCCAACAGCAAGCTCGGTCACCTCTTCCAAGAAATACGGAGGCGAAGTAGGCACAGAGTAAGTTAAACTCCCGTTGGTTTCAACATTCAGTTACGTGCACTGCGGCATAACAAGTGAGTAGGGCTTGGCCGCCATTTTTCAAAATTCCTTGACTAGCGCTCCTATTGGTCCGCGGTGACGGATTCGGCGGCAGACGCCGCAAAAATCGGTCCGAGAGCGATCGGTGCGGAAAGGGCCCTTTCGGCGGATCTCGCCGCCGCCGAACCGGATTCGGAGCACTTTCGGAGGCCGGAATGCTCAGTGTGAACGCGGCCTGAGAGATGTTTCTTTAAGCGCGAAAACTGACCGTCCGTGTCGACTGTGGTCCCACGGCGAAGGCGTCTACACGAGTGATGAAAAAAAAAATGTGTATACATAATCACGTGATGACGTTATCATAGGACGTGATTAGGGAGTCAGAAATAGCCAAAATCAGTGACATCACCATGGCGTCACTTATAAGGTGACGTCTCGCATGATAACGTCATCACATGACATCATGGCTTCGACGAAGGTGGGCTGACCATCTCAGGGGCCGAGCAGAAACCAGGTTAGTGAAGTGCGGAAAGCTTGCGTTGCCTCCGCGGTCCTGGAGGCAGTGTGAAACGACGTTAAGTGCAGGAGATATCAGAAAAGGCAGTGTGAAACGACGTTAAGTGCAGGAGATATCAGAAAGGGGCGAGGGAAAATTAATGTCGCGACTGAGAAGAAATAAAAGCCAGCTTTCGCCGTCAAGCAGTCTAAGGTGAATGCATAACAGAACCTGTGAGTTTTCTGTCTTACTATTTGAGAGAGAAAGGTAAAGGAAAGGAAGGAAGGTTAACCAAAGGAAGACTCCGGTTTACTACTTAGTATACTTGAGGTAGGGAAAAGGGGGTGTGAAAGAATGAAAGAGAAGTGAGAGTTGTGCAGTTCGAGTGTGTCCCCGAATAAGGGCAGGGAATACAGGCAGGGCGAGGACACGTGTATTTCTCGTGATCGCGGTTATACGACCCTCAATGCTCTCGTGCTACGTCAATGGAATTGAGAGTTTATGGGTAGCACCGCGGCTCCCCAGCCACCAACGATACACGCGAAACATTATAACGGCGCATGCTTGAGAGCCCGGCCACATTGATGCGTGAAGGTCTGCTGATTGGTAAACATTCTTGCCTGTGAAATAAATATTTCGAACGTGACGTAGTCAGTAGCAGCACCTGAGACGCCTGCACCTATACGTTTAAAATTGTCATTTCACCATTACTTTTACACTATGCATTTTGCCAAGCACCAACTATAGGCCGGAAAAACTCTTTCCCACAAATAACCCGTAGCACGACCGGAGCTTTAAATTTAGGAACTGTACCTTGATTAAATGAACTCTGTTTCGCTCGAATAACACAGGACGCCGGGTTACTCTCAGTGTTATAATATTCGAAAAAAAAAAAAGAAGGTCGGTTAGCAGACCTGGGACTGCACAGGTCCAGCCCGTGTGCCGCGGCTTGTTGTTGCTGCTGGTGCTGTTGCTGCTGCTGGTGCTGTTGCTGTTGCTGGTGCTGTTGTTGCCTGAGCTTGTCGTGTCCGCCGACAGGACGTCCCAGTTGGGCCATGCCGGCCGCTGCCAATGGCAGCGCCAGTCCTCCGGCTAGCAGGTGCCTCTGGTAGGCAGCGGCTGCTGCGGCAGCGGCAGTGGCCGACGGGTGGTTGGCGCTGTGGGCTCCCAGGCCCAGCATGCTTAGCGCCTGCTGCTCCATTGGGGACACACCAAGGGCAGCCTGGTACGCGGCCGCCGCGCTGCTCGCGGACAGCTTGTCCGAGGTCATCGTTGGACGGGCACCTGCCAAGGAAAGCGGGACATATGCTCAACGCATGTATGTATGTATGTATGTATGCAGTATGTATGTATGTATGTATGTATATGTATGTATGTATGTATGTATGTATGTATGTATGTATGTATGTATGTATGTATGTATGCATGTATGTATGTGTGTGTGTATGTATGTATGCATGCATGTATGTATGTATGTACATACGTATGTATGTATGCATGCATGTATGTATGAATGTATGTATGTATGTATGTATGTATGTTTGTATGTATGTATGTTTGTATGTATGTATGTATGTATGTGTGTGTGTATGTATGTATGTATGTATGTATGTATGTATGTATGTATGTATGTATGTATGTATGTATGTATGTATGTATGTATGTATGTATGTATGTATGTATGTATGCATGTATGTATGTGTGTGTGTGTGTATGTATGTATGCATGCATGTATGTATGTATGTACATACGTATGTATGTATGCATGCATGTATGTATGAATGTATGTATGTATGTATGTATGTATGTTTGTATGTATGTATGTTTGTATGTATGTATGTATGTATGTATGTGTGTATGTGTGTATGTATGTATGTATGTGAGCCTGCGTGACTCTGACGTTCCTTCGGAAAATTCGCACCCAGGTGGGTTGATTGTTGATACAGAATGTTAACTAACGGATGAATTCTCCCTAATCATCATGATCATCACGTGGACACGTGAACGTGTACAGATGTGGACAAAAATGATGGTGAGAGGATTTAGCGAACACCGTGCCTTTGGTTATTCGAGGACAAAGAAGGCGATCTTGCAGTTCAGCTGCTCAGAACACGCTGTTATCGCTGTGTCAACGTCTACCTCTCTTTTGTTCGCGTTGCACCACGACGATATTATTATCATTATTATAAATATTAACAATAATATATTATTATTAATATTGTTATTATCATTATTACATTAGTAGTAGTAGTAGTGATAAAAGTATAGTAGTAGCAGTACGGAAAATTGATTGATTCATAGATATGTGGGGTTTAACGTCCCAAAACCACCATATGATTATGAGAGACGCCGTAGTGAAGAGCTCCGGAAATTTCGACCACCTGGAGTTCTTTAACGTGCACCCAAATTTGAGCAAACAGGCCTACAGCTTTGTCGCCTCCACCGAAATAGCAGCCGCCGCAGCCATATAGTGGTTGAGATATATAATTGTGCATTAGTACATACACTGTAGGTAGAAATAAAAAAGTGTGCGTGTGAACGTATTATGCTAGTGCGAGCTGCTGAAAGCAAACTGCACATTGACATGTTAATTCACCTGGACTCAGTGTGCTGTTACGTTTTTTTTTCTTTTTTTCATTTTGGGTACCATTCATTCTCATTTTTTTTTCACAGCAGAACTCATTGATATGGAGTATCTGAGTTAATATGGAGCTCAACTTCTCCACAGAAAAATAGATAGAACAGAACAGAACAAAAAATGCGAATGATAGGATCGATAGTCAGTAAACCTGTCTTGCACTGACATTGATAGTTACCACTGTCAAAATCTCACTTCTCATACTCAATGAACACCAGCGACAGGACGAAACAGCGCACTCAAATATGTAAAAAAAACTTTAACGTAACGTAGCGATGTGGCTGTGTAACTTCTTCAAGTACAGAGACAGTAACGACAGATTTAATGCAATAAAAGAAAAAAAAAGAAGGAAATATGCAGATTAGGCAGATCATGCAGAGCGCGGGTCGTACTATCGCCATTATGGCCCATATTTTTCTGTATACAAGAGCGCTCACAGCAAACAGACCAACAAATCTCGGTGCGCGCACAACTATATAACCTAATGGTAGTCTAGAGGTGCACTATACTTGCTCACATAGACAGGTCGTAATTAGTTACGTGCTGTATATATTCACGGATATCACCTTATTTTTCTTCTTTTTGACAAGCGCCGTTATCACATTACTGCCGCCTATATAACTATCAAAATTTCTTCACTATAAATTTCAGTGCGAGTTCACTTTCATGGATTGCTGCTGCCGTTGTACTGCATCGCAAGCTGCATGCGAGCCATAGTTAACCCTTGGTCTTGATTGATTGATTGATTGATATGTGGGGTTTAACGTCCCAAAACCGCCATATGATTATGAGAGACGCCGTAGTGGAGGGCTCCGGAAATTTCTACCACCTGGGGTTCTTTAACGTGCACCCAAATCTGAGCACTGGCACGGGCCTACAACATTTCCGCCTCCACCGGAAATGCAGCCGCCACAGCCGAGATTCGAACCCGCGACCTGCGGGTCAGCAGCCGAGTACCTTAGCCACTAGACCACCGCGGCGGGGCAACCCTTCGTCTTATCAGGCACGCAAGAGTTGGTCTTTTGTGATTCCCCGATTAAGTTATTTGGCTTAACTTGAACACTCCCAACTACGTTAGCCTTGGAAGGAAACTTGGCCTCATCATACAACGTTAACCAATAACTCACAGTCGACCCTACAAAAAAAAAAAGCTTCTTGACAATAGTGAAAAAAAAGAAAAGAATAATCCCACAGCTTTCGTGCATATTACCTTTTGTTTGCCGGTGAAGCTTCTTTCTGATTAACTTTCTTCTCAATCTTGCGCTGCTTTAGGATTTGTGATAATATTGTTTCAAATGAACTATCCGCGCCTTGCCTAATACGGTTGAAGACACGTGGTCGAAATTAACCGTCATATTGAGACACATTAAGCAGTGACGAAATCATGTTAGAAGTTCATTCCACACGTGCTTGCATGCTGGCATACAAACACGCGGTCACGCAATTTTCCAAGCGCCTGTCGCAAGCATGCACAGGCACTCAAGGCAGACGAACGCAAGAACAGTACTATACTTATTTCGAACATGCGGAAAACCATTATTTTTTTCTTTCGCCAGGCACAAGGCGCATAAGTTTCATTTCTTACGTAGGAAGACTAACAACAACAAAAAAAAAAACCAGCGCAGATCTAAGAAGAAACGCTGAAATCAGCGCTGATAAGAAATCGAAGAGAGAGGCGCAGTTCCGCTCATCCAATAATTGAGCAGTGACGACTCTGAAATTTTTCAGGCAATTTTAATTTCTAAACCACCGGCGCGCTGCCGCAGCCACGGGCTCGCCAGGGTGAATCAAATTAGCCTCTTCGAAGAACCCCGCCAGCGATGCGGAGCATCACGCGCCTTTAAAAAGGACGGCGGACGAAAATTTCGAAGCGACGGCACCCTAAGGATAAATCAAAAAGGTCGATTTGGCAGGCACTCGGACAGGATAGAAAAAAAAAAAGTGGATAAAGAGAGAACGCAAAGCACAGCAGAGTCATAACTTTCCGAGTTGCATACTACCAGCTTGGCTTGGCTCGGCCGTCGCAAGAAAAGAACGCTCGCGAGCCGAGAGTTTGGGGAGGAAAAGAATACAGCGCCACGGAGTGCTACGGCGGCGCGCGCCGGAATTCATCTTGTCCCACTTCGATATTCAAAGACCTTCCCGGCTCTCCCCTTTCCTGCAGGCCTGTGTATAGCTTCGGCGGCCAGCGCTCGCTCGGGCTTAGAGAGATAAGCGAGGATATTTATGCGACTCCGTAATAAAAATTCTATTATGCGCCGCCCCGGAGCACTGTCCGTCACCGGTCGTTTGGTTCGGGGGCTCTTTTCCCTCTGCCGCTGTTGCTGATGCCCAATAATTCCGCTAATAACGTTTCTCGGCTGGGTGGAGCTCCGCGATAAAGATGCCCTCCTCTATACCGTCTCAGCCCCCTTCCTACGCAAGCGGTCGCACACGTACAAACCAGCGCCGTGTTTCCGTTCCATTCCTTCACCTTTTCCACCCTGTTCGCAATCAATGTCCCTTTTTCTCGGTGGCCGGACCCTTTCGCTTTCTTAAAAACCCAGGGCGTTTTATCTTGTTCTCGGATCCTGCTCATCGTACGAACAATGGGCTGCGACGAGCATGATGCGACTTTATAAGGCGGAAAGAAATTCTTTCTGGCGAACGCCGCGCTATTTAATCGCCCACCCCTTTTGGAAGCGAGGTCTCACAGTTCAACCATCATTTCTTTTTTTTTTTTACGGTCTTCCTTCCATTCCTTAATGTCGCTTAATGAAGGCCGTAAAGCGAGATGGCGGGCGCAACGCTTATACGCGGAGCTCGGCGATTCCTCTCTCGCCTAATCGAGCCAGGCCACTGGAGCCAAGTTTTCGCGATGGGAGCTGTACAAACCCATTAACGTCGTATCATTGGTTAGCAGTGCAGGCGAAGAACGCAGGTCGTTACTTAACGGAAAGATTGAAAAAGAAAAAATGCTATCCGCTTGCTAATCTGTCCGAAATTATCGAGCATTCGGACGTGGTTGTAATAGAAATAATTGTTATTTTAGTCTTGCCTGAGTGAGCAGAAGTGATCTACCACACATATAATAAAGCAAAAAGAAAAAAAAAGTAGGCAGCTGCACATTTCATTGAGACTGAATAGCCGTTAAAACAGCGGAGATCCCGTATTAGCGCGACGCACTGAGCGGCATGTCTCAGCAAAAACTGGTTCTAATTATATAATGAATCGGCCTCGACTGTGAGCCAAACGACATACGAACCAGAATGAAGGAGATTCAATGCGGCCACTGAATTTCTATGAAGGTCACAAATTTGAGCTCACACAATCACTGAGCATTAGGGAAGAAATCAAGCATTCATATGTTCTAGAATGAGAAAAAAATAACATAAGAAAACAACGAAGAGGCAGAGGACAAGCACATGCTTTCCTAACAAGCTTAGGTAACCCTTATTCACTTTGTTCAAACTTTCTCGTCTTCATTCATAATCTACTCGACGAAGTTAATCCAACACATCCCACATCTTTCTTTCTTTCTTTCTTTCTTTCTTTCTTTCTCTCTCTCTCTCTCTCTCTTTCTTTCTTTCTTTCTTTCTTTATTCCTTTCTTTAATGTGCTAGAATAACGAATTGTTATGAAAGAGCATCCGAATCAACGTGAGGCTGGCTCCATTATTGCGGCTGGCCTATACCACACTATGCTGGAACAATACCAGAACTATACTGCCTCATGCATGCATGCTAGCAATAGTTATCGAGCTAACTAAAGGTAATTGAGGCCAATACTAACGCCCCCTCCCTCTTTTTTCGCATTCACCGCTAAACTGCCCCTGCACGTTTGCTTTCTTCCAATTAATGATGCCCCAGACAAGTTTTAGTATCGTACTGACTTCGTACAGCTGCGCTGGTCACCTTTATAAATGAGAAACAGCGTTTGCCATTTCACTGAGCAGGACTGTTAGAGAAAGTGGGATACGGAGAGAAAGGGTATATATAAAGTATAATGTATAATAGTCGGAGGTGTTGCGTAACGTTGTGATTTACCTTGGCTCCACATCTTGAATAACACGGCTGGGATGTTCAGATCAGCTTCCTCGGCGCAACGAATGTTCTCTGAGGAGGAAGCAGAGGATGGGGGAAGGGAGAGGGAAGACTCAGATTGGGAGGACAGTTCGGGCACGGGAGTGGGACAACCGCGGCGGCACAAAGACACCAAATCCACCCTTACGATCCACGCGCAGCAAGATCACGTGGCCTAAGGTTTGCAACCGAAGCGTGCCGAATACACGGACACCGAATTCGAGTATTTCCTAGACAAAAAAAAAAAAAAAAAAGGCCGGGGAATCGCTCTGAAAGTGCACCATACTTAAAAAAAAAAAAACAGATTTGACGTAGAATAGTGAAGCAAACAAATTAAAAAAAAACACGCCTAATTTTATTTACGAAGAATTATTCTTGAAATAGAAAGTATTGCAATTGACATTTTTCTTTTTTTTTTACTGGAACTGAGATTTTCGCGGCATACGAGTAAAATATCATGGCGCTATGTAGCATGCGCACGACGAATGCCGGCTGCTCCTTGGATATCTAGGTTTACACTTACGCCTCTTTTCCATGCATTAGTTTTTTTTTTAATTTACGCAGTTGTTTTTCTTTGAGTGTTTCATTGTTTTTCACATGACAAGCGCCAAATGCTTCGGAAACGACACAAGAGAAGGCAAACATGAACCGTATCATGCTATACAGCAAGCGAAATTGATCGTAATTACACACATACAAGCGGCTGGCTCACACGATACACAAGAGGCTTCGGGAACCAATTCAAACCAAAAGTATAGCTCGCTATCGCATGTAAAACAAAACGCAACGAAAAACTGAATGAAATAATTTAAAGAAAGAGTTGCGGGCACGGAGCGATCCATCAAGCCCCGGTTTCCCAAAAGGAACACGCGCCGGCAGGAAAGCTGCAAACGCGAACAATGGAGGGACCCTTTGACGAAAAAAAAAAAAAAAATCAAGCGTCGTCGTCGATGGTTCGGCGACTGTCGGGAGTGAAAGAACGGTTCGACGGTACACGCAGAGCCGAAGGTGTACATGGAAGAGTGCCGCCGAAATTTTCGAAAGAACCCGATCTTAAACGGTGCTGCACCTCTCTCGCTTACAGCTGGTCGGCCGGAATTCCGGAGGAGAAATTTAACGCTACTCGTGAATAAACAACAAAAATAAAAGGGAAAGAGCACCAGGGAGAAGAGGTTACGCGAGAAATCTCTGCACTTCTCCGTTGCGCGCGGGAGGTGTGGGCGTATGTATATCGTTGCGGGCATTATGGAGATGCAAACGAATCACTCGTGCCCCTTTCCAGAGGGGCCTGCCGCAGTGTGTTCTGCATTGCAGATTCGGAACAGCCACAGCTACGCTCCCAACGCTGCCAGTTTGCATTTACGGAACTTCCTGAGCTTCGCCTCCTTGTTATCCTTATATTCACCGCCCCCTGTTCTTTTTTTTTTTCTACGCTCGAGGAGAACCCGTTCGGAATTTGCCCCTTTTCTCAGCAAAAAAAAGGTCTCTCCTTTCCCGCCGCAATAGAAAATCACTGTTTCCGCCCGTGCCTTGGCTCATGCCACTGGAGGAAGCCGAAAACGCTTGGAACTTCGGTAGATAACTTTTCCTTTTTTTTGGGGGGGGGGGGGAAGGGATATTACGGTCAGCTGGCGAAGAGCCAAAGCTCGCTTGCTTCCGCGGAAACAACACAAGACCTCTCTGTGCGCGCATTTGCATTGTAGTAATCGGGAAACTTTGTTCGAAAGCTGTAGCATGAGCGATCGCCATTTTGTGCCGCGAGGTAGCGCGCGTGTGCTTCCGCTGAACAAGGTTCGAAGGAAGAAAAACAGAAAGATATAAAGAAAGGCGTCTCGCAGTGAAAGTACGTAGCGTAATGCAATGCCTTTTTTTTCAGCGAGTTGCTCGAATTCCCAGCCGTTACAGTTCCTAAGTCGAGGGGGCCTGTTTCCCTATTCTAATTTTACCACTTTCTCCTCCATCGCTGAACGCTTGCTTCCGTACATTCTCGCGCATCGTTCACGAGATATTCCCACCGTCTTGCGCATCATCTTGAGCATCCTGCTTCGCCAGCTAAAGCGTTCTCTCTCCTTTAGTAATGTTTTTGCCTGCACACATTACCGGTGCACCACGACAATAGCACCTTCGGCGTGCTAGCGACCCGGAAGCATTATTAAAATATTCGTCGCGAAATACATCGCCTTGCAAGCAAGCGGCCGAAGCGATTTCGAGCAAGAAAAGGCATCCGCGTGCGCATGCGTGTTTGCGCGGGAATACTGCACACGCATTGGGCAAATGCACACCGCGACAAAAACGGCAGCGAGGTCAGACAAATTGTGACGCGTCGGTTACCGGGACACAATGACGTGCCTCGTGGGGAGCTGCAGCCTCGCACGACAAGTCGAACAAAAAAAAAAAAAAGAAAGAAAGAAACGGGATCCAGGAGCAGAAGTTTTCTAGGGGCGTCCCATGAATGGGATGACACGTGAAACCGAAAACCAAACTTGGGAGCTCCCATTGTGATCGTCCCGGATCCTCTTCGTGAGCGGCATTACTATTCCCCAGCGCCATCCCGCTTCTCCCTTTCCCGATTTCGCTGCCTTTGTGTGAGACAGTTGTCTCTTTTGCCACCCTTCTTTCCCCAAACTTGGGGAATACCCCGCTCTTCTCCACTAGCGACGTTGAAAGCCGCGAGAGGGCGCCACATGTGGCCGAGCCCGGTCCCTATACGTGCACACTAGAGGACGTATAGGTGTTCGTTGTTTGCGCGTGAAAAATGTGGCAGCGGTGCCCGATCATCTATGCGGACCATGTATCACGCGCAAAGAGACAGGAGAGCTGAAAAAATTGCGGCGTTCGTGCTTTCAACTCTCACGTTGGATATTTACTTCTCTCCGCTTTACTTTTTTGTCCGAAACGGGTGCGGAGGACTCTTTATATGCTAATCACGCACACCGTCCCTGACCGCAGTGAAACGGGCCCCCTTGTTTGCCACTCGCATATGCGCTGGGCATTGCTTCCCTCTTCAGTACACTATCTTTATTCAAAAACCCCACTTTCACTTGCCTGTCCTTGGGGTTTAAGTTTGGATGTCATACAATTTCCCAGATACAATCGCAGTGAAGCAAACTATATCAGATGGGAGGCGAAGCGTCCCACTTTGAGGAGAATATTACTAGCACACATATACGCATGTTTGCAATGTTTTTTTTTTTTTTTGTTGAGGGAACTGTATCGTATGTATAACCTCTGTCTCTGAATTTTTCGTGCTATCCTACAATACTTTCATACAACCTCAGGTTTCCTTACTACTCGAGGTATCAATATTCTTAAAAAAAAAACGACACGAAATTTCTTGAACGGCAGGCACATAACAACAACGGCAAAAAAGCAATGAAAATTTACTCCATGCACGCAAAGTCTGCTATTTATATAGCATCGCTCTGTTCTTGAACGTGCTTCACTAGCAACTGAGCGACTCATTCGCGTCGTGTTGGTATATAGGCAGATTTTGCTTTATTGTTAAAGGGCCCCTAAACCACTCTTACTTCAAAGACCAGATAGTGGTGGTTTCGGTCTCACCTTTATGTACACTTCGCACAGCTGTTATCTCCTCCTCGCCGCTTATGCCCTCATAAAACGCGTAGAAAAATTTTACCACTGAGCGTTCAGCCTGTCGTGATTTCACTGTTTTCGACTGCACGCTGTTACCAGCGATTGCGCGCAAACGTGCAACACGAGGTGGAATTTTTTCACCACACCCGACAGCAACGCAAGAAGAGGCATAACGGGCGTGCGAATGCACGTCAAAACAGGCTAGGACAGACGTCGTATGCGGACAAGTCGAAAGCTTGTTTTCTTGTGACGCTACGGGAACAGGCTGCAGGCGTCACAAATTGAGCCAAAAAGTAGGGAACCACCAGTATATATAGATTAACACCCTCGTTCTTTGTATTTTATGTGGCTTGGCGTCATTTAAGATACTACCGAAGCTCATAATTATTCAGAGAAAAGGTGATAGATACCTGAAACTGTTACGGTAAAAAAAAAAAAACAGAAGTACTTCTGCGCGACTGACCTTTGTAACCGATAGTTGAGGAGTACTTTTTAATATGTTTTCAAGTCTGCAGGCTTTAGTTTCACTAAACGCTCACAAAGGATTAGACAAAGTTATTACTATTACTTTTTGCGGAATCCTGGTTTGCAAAGTGTTTGTGTTTATGCATATACTGCACACATGTGGCACTTCGAAGTAGTAGCACTGCGGACAGAAATATCGCTACCGAGGAATGACCTATTCTTCCAAGTCGTCCGCTAACCACAGAACGTCAGAAGAGCACGCCCACTCAGGGGTCTTCACCAACCGCTGATGAAACACATAAGAAAGATGGTAAAGTGATAAATAAGCTTCGTTCTCTCATGAATGCCATCCGAGAGGTCTTGTTGGGCACGGGGACAACGTCTGCTCGAAGCGCTCTCAAAGTATTGGACGCCTTAAGCGCAGTACTAGAATCGCTCGAGTGGAAATATGGCTAACAATCGCCATCATTTCTGAGAAGTGAAGGAAGCATCCACCACTCAGTGGAACGCCAGCGGACTGAAACCGCGTCTTTTTGGACTTTCGTCAATTGGTGCGCGTGAACGCGTTCCAAGTCATCAGCATTTGTGAGCCCAACGCGTGTGCGTGCTCTCCTCTCTCTCTCCCCAGTTTCTACCTTTCCGACTCCCTCACCCCTATCCGCAGTGTAGGGCAGCAAACCGGTCGTTCCAGACCGGTTAACGTCCCTGCCTTTCCTTTCCCTCTTGTGCTTCACTCTTCTCGAAGTAGTTGCGATGTTGTGGTCACGCTAAGCAGATGGACCAAAATGTGCATTGTACCGCATTGTACCTTAACGCTTCTCTGGGTGTTCCACGTAAGCGCTCACACGGGCGCTTGCAGGTGCCGCCCTTTTGATAAGTCGATGTGGCATGTGCGCCTGCACACAGTCTCGACATCCCCCGAGTAGACCAACTATTCACACAAATGGGTCAACTAACCAAACGATGTATAAGCCCCGCCACGGTGGTCTAGTGGCTACGGTACTCGGCTGTTGACCCGCAGATCGCGGGTTCGATTCCCGGCGGCGGCGGCTGCATTTCCGATGGAGGCGGAAATATTGTAGGCCCGTGTGCTCAGATATGGGTGTACGTTAAAGAACCTCAGGAGGTCGAAATCTCCGGAGCCCTCCACTACGGCGTCTCTCATAATCATATGGTGGTTTTGGGACGTTAAACCCCACATATCAATTAACCACACGATATGGAGCAGCTAGAATAAACGTGGCCCAACAGTCCCCGCTCATCACTAATATACGGCTGCGGTCGTTTTCCCGCAAAGAGAGCCGCGTTGACGAAGGAAGAAGCAAGAAGAGTTGACGAAAGGCGAAGACGGGGAGACTTAGAAAAGGAAGAGCAAAAAAAAAAAAAAATCTCCATCCTAATAGCAGGCGCCATCTTACCGTCATGCATGGGCGCTCCATATACAGTAGCGTCGTCCGGTATATTCTCTCACACGGGGGACGGGGCCTCACCACCTCAAACAGCCGAGATAATAGCGGGGAGGGGGGGGGGGGGTTGTCGACGGGCAAGATGTAATCCAGTGTCAACGCAGTTCTTCGACAAGCCGGCTCGCGGCCCATTGAATCCCGGGCGCATCCTCAACAATGCGTCTCTGTCAGCCGCCGTATTCGTTGGGCACCGCGCGAGGTGATCCCGCTTGTTATGCGCTCACTGTAGCAACGTGCCGACCATAAGGCTTCACGCAGATGCCGATTTTATGACGCCCATGACTCCCCGCTTTTTACTTCTTCAATGACGTGAGGATGCGCTCATTGACAAAAGAAAGAAAAGAAACGTTTAGGTGAATCTCATTTCGGTTCCTTCCACACTCTGCACTGGAAGCGTCGGTTAGGTGTCATTACGCATGTACATAAACGGACTATTCAACAGCCTATGCGGCAGTTTCCCATTCTTTTGTCTGCGACGTGAGCGCCATTGCATACGGCGCTATAAATATGTGGGCGCAGTAGAGTTCAAATATTTCACCAACGGTCAAACATATGCTCCCATACATACTTGTAACTGAGGCCACTGGCATGTTGAGGCCCTTAATATCCCTGAAATGAGGTCCTCAAGGTGATAGCTGCTGTTTGCCCGTACGGGCTGACCATATCTATGATGATTGTAATTAAACATTGCTTGCCGAGATTATTTCCGTTCAGCAATTATGGGCAGTGGCAGCGTTAGCAAGGATGTAGGATGCCCTATCACATAGTACAGTAGCGTCTGAATAAAGTTAAACGAGGCGAAGTACACAGAACCATAAATTATGTCGTCTGTTTCCTATTTTAACGGTTATGATCATCGTCCGTCTTAACTGCAATTGTTCTAGCTAGCATATTCGCCACTCAAGAAATTACATTCTTCGAAATGGAAACAGTTCACTGCTATAACGTGAACGTAGACAGAGAACCATCTGCGGTACATATATAAACACAAATGATTAGCGGTGGCACTGTACTAAAGTTATAGCAAGAGATATACTTTTCGTCAAGAAATTTCAGAACGACAGGCAGGTCCTGTTAGTTTTAAACAGAAGCGCTGCAGCAACAACTACAGCCTATAATAAGTCAGGTATATTTATTTTAAGAGCGTACAAAATACTTGTTTAAAAAGATTGTTTTTTTCTTTTGCATGGTGCTCACTCACGTACCTATCCCGTACTCGAGGACAATGACAAGTCTATAATGTTGCAGTGCATCGATGGCGATGCACAGGCAGAAAAGCTGAAAGTCACCCCTACAGCTGACAAATGTGGGTATTTGTTTTTGGACGTATAGCGATTGAGCGAGATTGCTTGGAAGTGTTTTCTTGCTCCTTTAATGGTATTCTCACAGATTGCTTGAAACGCCGCGCTGTATGCTTCCGAAAAGAAGAGAAGAGGTCGAAAGACATATTGCTCGGATAAGTACTCTCTCTAGATCCCAAGATTAAGCCACCTTATATGAGTAGCTCACATCTTAACGCTTCACCTAAATAAGAACGGACTTATATCTTTACTTCCTGTTTACGTTTGGCGTTTCATTTATTGTTACCGCTGCCATCTGCAGGGACGGGTGTCTTTACACGTTTCAGAACAAAGCATGCAGCGGAACGAGGTAACGACAGGGCATGAGCGTTTTTTTCTTCTTATTCTGTATTAGAGCACCTACCAGACTTAATGACCGCGTCGTAGTCCATCTCGGCTCCAGGTTTGAGCAGCGGAGGGTAGCCCGAGCGGCCGCCGAGGCCCACCAGGGAGGCGCGCTTCGGGGGTCGACCCGGTCTGCAAACAACACAAAAAAAGAAAAGTTAATGATGATTTAGCGGTAAGTGTGGGAAAAATGTGTCAAAATTAACTTCATTAGCTTCATTAACTACGCATTAGAGAGAGAAAAGGGCAAAGTAAAGTCGGAAAAGGCAACTAAGTTGTACGCGGTTCCTTACCCTAAAATAGGGGAGGAAGAAGGTGAGGAAAATATTATAAAAAGCAAGAGAGAAAAAGTGATAGGTGCACACACATATCAGCGTAGACCACACACACACACAGAGAGAGAGTCAAAACCGAGGAATATTAAGACCGGTTTCTCTATGGTCATCTTAAAATAGACTTGAACCCAAAATGTCAAAACAAAAGGCTACACAGTAAAAACTAAACAATTATAACTTTACATTTTCATGGGTGCAAAAAAAAAAAGATTTTGGCTGTCCCATAGCTAGAAACCTGGCGTATAATGAGTAAACACGAATTGAAGGTAATAACAGTTTTCTTGCTGGCCGCCTTCCTATTGCAAGCAAATATTGTGGTTGGTGCAACAGACGACTGAAAGAGTGAAATAAATAAATTTTCATAGTTTCCACTGTCTACACTTTTCGTATCAGATGTTTATACACGTACCAAGAGGTCATATTCCGAAGGTTCTAATTAGGTCTCTTCTCATCGTATATGCTGTTAAGCACAATCTTAAGCGCAATAAATACTTTCAATAGCTGTACAGGTACTCCTGTTTACCTTGGGACAACGGGCACTTTTAGGGGCGTAATTATTGTTAGACTAAAAGCTCGAAAACGGACGCCATTCATCAATAGCCAACAGTGTTGGTATTATACGATTATGTACAGTAGCCCACGGTACATCGCATTATGTGAGCAGATACGGAAACCTTCGTGCAACCTCGTACATTTTTTTTTGTTTGCCGAACTGTCCGTTTTAACGAACGCATAGTAAAAGAGCGCGTTACACAGCAGTCAGTGAACATAATGAGTAGTCGTTTTAAGACAGAGAGTGATGCATGCATATTGCAAAGAGTACATGCATCGTAAGATTGCATAGCAGAATAACAGTCGGATATTATTTTTAGCTCTCTATTTCTTTTTGTTATTGAAGAAGTAGCAAAGGTAAATTGAATGCGTTATAATAACCATTCGTCCATGTCATCACGGGCGCCGGTTGTGCGTCATCGCAGCCAAACAAGCCAGGACTAGTTTTGCGGTCCCTACTTTGCACTAGTTTGCCCGTGCCACAGGCAATTTAGAGCTAAGCGGCAAATTTCCTACGCAGTGCGCAGATTAAAAGAGCACTATAATCAGCAGATGATAGCGCGGTTGCAACGCAACAGGCATGCACATACGTTCCGAGCCTTGGCGTACGCGTAAGGTCTTCGTATAACCAGCAAGTGTAACGCTTGACAACGTGACGACAAGGCAGTGCGAAATTGCAACATACATCACCAGCTTTCCGCGTCTTTCGCGTTCACGCGGCGCCAGTAAGCCGTGCACGAGCGTTTAAGGTTCTGATTTTAATCTCGAGCGCACTAGCACGTTCAGTACCACGCATCCTTGAAGCACCGTTTCGCGGATGTACGCTGTATACTGTACAGGTCACTGCAAGTACAGCCCTGCTAATCTAACAAGATGAATCCAGTTGTTTTATTATTATTTTTTTAAAGAAAACGCGAGTAATCATTGAGCGCGCGAACCGTTCCTCCACCGAACCGTTCCATTGGTCTTCGCCGCAACGCACTAACAAAGCCCCCGGACGACTCGCTTCCTTGCACGACTCGCTCGAAGGGGAATGAGCTTGAGTCGGACATCGTGTCCAGTATGGCCCTCTGCCGTCGGAAGGTTTATGCGCAGTCACGTTCGCAGTCGACTCGGTGTACATTCGGAAAGACACTTTTGGAACGACGGGACGCGCATGACTTGAGTGTAAGTGACGAACGTCTTCGGGCTGTCATTTGGGAGCTTATTACGAAACTGCACGCGCGCTGCTTGACTTCATTTCTAGCGTGAGAAAGATATAAGAATTGGTCACTTTTTGCTTCTTTTTAAGAGCGAAAGCTCCTTAAAGCGGAACCCGTTCGTCCCTCGAAGCAGTCGTAGTCGTAGTGTGTAAATAGCCTTACGTTCTGACCTCCAAGGTGGTGCCGGTAGGCGATTTCTCGTGTGCGTTGTTGAACAATACAAAAATTCGCAGCGTGCGCGTTAACTAGAAGCCGAATTCTCCTGTCTCTCATTCCCCATTAGCAGCCATTGGCATGTAGATTGAGCACTATCTGACAAGAAAGGGTTGCTAAGTTATTTTCGCTGGGCGTAACCTCCTTGGTTTTAGAAAGGTTTAGGCGTTGGGCCGCAGTGCCATGAATACAGTGAACTAGCATATACCATGAACTCGAGGTTAACTGGTTAAAGGTGGGAAGTAGAGCCGAAGCGCAAGTCGTAAGAAAGTTTGCGTGCGCCACCTGTCGTTTAGTCCTTGGAATGTCCGCTGGATGGCGGTGCTTCTATATGGGGAATATATGATGAAAAGATGCGAGATGGTGGTACTTGGTGTGTTGAATAGATGGACGAGCGGACACACAGACAGATGCATGGATGGACGCACGGATGGCTGCACGGACGGATGGACGCATGGGCGGATGCATGGACGAACGCAGGGACGGACGCACAGATGGACGTGCGGACGCACGAACAGATGCACGCACGGACGGGCGGATAGACGCACGGACGGTCACACAGACGGACGCATGGACAGACGGAAGCAAGATCGAATGGACGGACGGATGCTTCGCCCCACTCTCCATCATTCACTCCGTGGATATGCTGCCATTGTTTTTTTACTCGGTATATCTCTGAGCGATAGACACTGCATGGTGCGAGGTGATAACTGTATTCTACTCTTCTTCTTTTTCTTTTGATCGTTACGTCACTAGGACGAGTTCTGAGATAAAATGGGCCAGTTTAGAGCGGTAGCTGGTAACAGATATATTTTAGGCGGTCGTAACGCGACACGTACGGTGTGCGTTGTGTCCCGATGAACTATCTTGATCAGAATAAGTTCGAAGGCGCGAGTGCATGGCCAAGAGCCTCAAAATACAGATAACGTGATACGAGGATGGCGCTGCTGAAACTGGAGAGGAAAGGAGGGCGCTCTTCCGCCGACTGCAGGGCACTCCCGAATCATCATAGATCGTTGCTGTGAAATGGCAGTTTATCGCGTGCCATCGGCCGCTATAGCAATGAAGACATGTGCACGAAAATAAAATTCACTGAAGACAAGGATTGATCGATGATTGATTGATATGTGGTGTTTAACATCCCAAAATCACTACTGCTTATGAAAACAAGGATGCGTATGAAAATTCTCAGCGAACACTATATAGATGTAATAAAAACATGGCCTGTGCATCGCGACCGGCTACGTCAGAGCCGATATCTTTGTAGCTGCATAGCCTGCTCGATCAACTGGTTGTGGCAGTGTGCGTTGATGTGCGCTTATATCACCGATAGCAGCCACTGACACACTGTAAGCTGCGTCTTGCAGCAACGATATCGAGGAGGGAGTGCCAACAAGGATAGCGGAAGCGCACCACCCTTTCCACTTTGTTTCCAACAGCGGCCGCTGCGAATCTGCCGATGTATGGTTCGAGGATATTCGACTTGCGCTCGCATGTTCGAGCTCATATTGCTCGCGATAGCAAATCACGCTGTTTCTGTGACAGATGAATCGCTGAAGACACTCGCTCTGTGGCACGCTCTTCAGCGAGGTATGTACGGCTTTGTATTTGGCGCGCAAGTGCCTGTCGCGTATAGCTTTATGCCTGTCACGCGTAATGTTTAACGACACTTTCAACGAATTTGGCGGAACAAACTTTAACGGGGCGTGATCGCCTTGATCCGTCTCAAGTAGGCATATAGGCCATGCAGATACCTCAATGAAACGACAAGTGCTGTATCTTCCCTCGTGCTCCTGCTTGCACAGTCGAACTCAGTGTGATTTGTAGCACGCGCGTGGCCTCACGAGCACAAAGATAGCGCGTTACTTCTTAGTAGCCCTTGTTTCCACAACGAGACCTGAAAAAAAAAAAAGGCAACTTGAAGTCACGGGAAATCTTTGAGCTCGTGAGGCCATGCGCTTCGGTGGCACGTACTACTCGTATTGAGCGTGACTGTACATATTCAGCATATGGAAGAGCAGATACGTGTGTTTTGTTCTTGTGTACAATAAAGCACACGTTAACGCAGAAATCCACTGAGCTCGTTATGCGACTCGTTGAAATCAAAGAAGTATTACGGATAAACGAAAATTTCCTGTACACGCATACAATATGCAACGCTTTAGAACCGACACAGCGCTCAAACCTAAAATACGAAGATAAACCACAAGCTCTAGGCAGGTTGCATTTAGTGTGGGAAAAGCGGCGGACAGAAAGGAAAATGTTTCTAGAATATTCTTTACCATTTATCAGGCGCAACATCTTTCAGTCTCAACAGCGCGACGAAAGAAGGGACCCCGCAGTCGTTTTTTTTCAACGGCTAGCGAATCCTGTCCAAAACGTGTACTCCCAAATCCTGCGAAGTGCCGAAAAGGAAGTCGGCAAGAAAAAATAATAAAGCAAAGCGCATTGGCACGGGTCTAACAGGGTGCACTGAAGTGCAAGCGATGCTGTGTGCCAAGCCCGACGAAAAATCAACTGCAAACTCTCCTCATCTCCCCCCCTCTTTTCATGAGAAAATGAAGTCCACCGGCGTAAACAGACTCGTAAGCGAAGACTCAATTTTCTTTTTGTGCCCCACCCCTTTTCTTCGCGTAAACGACAAACTTCTCGCCGAAAAACGGACTCCCACAGAGTGGGACTCGGTGTGTGTACTTGCTGCGGCACTTCATGAAAACGGACAAGAAAACCTCGCGGAGGCAACCTTTGCGGGAAGAAGCGAACACACACACACACACACACAGAGTGCACGAGGTTTCCCCATTGTGACGTATGCAAATCGTCCCTGCTT